TTGGGAGGCTGAGACAGGAGAATCACTTGAACCCAGGAGGTGAAGGTTGCAGTGGCAGGGAGCTGAGATCGCGCCACTGCACTCCAGCCTGTGTGACATAGCAAGACTCCATCTCAAAAAAAAAAAAGCAGTTGTGGTAAAAAACAGACACATAAAATTTACCTTCTTAACCATTTTTAAGTGTATGAGAAATAGTAAAAAACAAACATAAAATTTGCCATTTTAACGATTTTTAAGTCTTTACGTTTTAGTAGTCTTAGGTATATTCACATTTTGTGCAACAGATATCCAGAACTACTTCATCTTGCAAAACTGAAACTCTGTACCCATTAAACAACAACTCTACTTGCCCTACCCCTCCTTTCTCTCTGGTACCACCATTCTACTTTCTGTTTCTATGAATTTGAATACTTCACTACCTCATATAAATAGAGTCATACAGTATTTTTGTGTGTGTGATGGGCTTATTTTACTTAGCATGTGTTAGGGTTCATCCATGTTGTAACATGTGATAGGATTTCTTTCCAGTTTAAGGCCGAATAATATTCCATTTTATGTATGCATCATAGTTTAGCCATTCTTCATCAATACATTGCCTTTTAAAATATTTTATTTTTTAATTTTTAATTTTTTTGTAGAGACAGAGTCTTTTTGCTATGTTGCCCAGGCTGGTCTTGAACTCCTCGCCTCAAGCAATCCTCCCGTCTTGGCCTCCCAAGTGTCAGGATTACAGGCATGTGCTATCACACCCAACCTGATACATTGCCTTTATAAAATTTTTTTTCTTTATTCTAAAAAACAAAAAAACCAAAACTGGATACGTGTGTAGAACGTGCAGGTTTGTTACATAGGTGTATGTGTGCCATGGTGGTTTGCTGCACCTATTGACCTGTCCTCTAAGTTCCCTCCCCTCACCCTCCACCTCCCACCCCCCAGCAGCCCTGGTGTGTGTTATTCCCCTCTCTGTGTCCATGTGTTCTCAATGTTCAGCTCTCACTTACGAGTGAGAACATGTGGTGTTTGGTATTATGTTCCTGTGTTAGTTTGCTGAGGATGATGACTTCCAGCTTCATCCATGCCCCTGCAAAGGACGTGATCTCATTCCTTTTTATGGCTGCATAGTATTCCATGGTGTATATGTACCATATTTTCTTTATCCAGTCTATCATTGATGGGCATTTGTGTTGGTTCCATGTCTTTGCTATTGTAAATAGTGCTGCAGTAAACACACATGTGCACGTGTCTTTTTCTTTTTTTTTGAGACAGAGTCTTGCTCTGTTGCCCAGTGTCGTTCAGAGTTCAGTGGTGCGATCTCTGCTCACTGCAGCCTCTGCCTCCCGGGTTCCAGTGATTCTCCTGCCTCAGCCTCCTGAGTAGCTGGAATTACAGGCGTGCGCCACCATGCCTGGCTAATTTTCGTATTTTTAATAGAGACAGGGTTTCACCATGTTGGCCAGGCTGGTCTCAAACTCCTGACCTCAGGTGATCCACCTGTCTCGGCCTCCCAAAGTGCTGGGATTATAGGCGTGAGCCACCTCGCCTGTCCTGAATACTTTTTAAAACTACTTTGCTTCACCTTATAAATGTGATCCTGAAAAGTTGGGTATAAACATTGTATGTATATGTATGTATGTATGTATGTATGTATGTATGATACAGGGATAGTTTGAGGGGTGGTTAAATCATATCTTAGTTAACTTTACAGCAAAGAGGAGACTCCTTTTTGCCTTGTGAATGATCCCCAACTTTATGTCTCAGATGTTTGTATTGGAGATTTTTCTTGAAGTAAAATATCACTCTACTAGGAATGGAACCAAAAAGGGGAGATGTGGTTATTTGAAATTGAAGATAGCTATGTATACCAGGACATCCCACCATTTGTCTTATTTTACATACTTTTCCATTTGTTTTACCAGCATCTCTTTTTTCCTGTTCCATGCACTAGAAATCCTGGAGCCCTCTTATTTATTTATTTTTTTTATTTTTTTGAGACAAAGTCTCACTCTGTCACCCAGGCTGTAGTGCAGTGGCACGATACCAGCTCACTGCAACCTCCACCTCCCAGGTTCAAGCGGTTCTCCTGCCTCAGCCTCCTGAGTAGCTGGGATTACAGGCGCCTGCCACCATGCCTGGCTAATTTTTGTATATTTAGTAGAGACGAGGTTTCACCATTTTGGCCAGGCTGATCTTGAACTCCTGACCTTGTGATCCACCCGCCTCAGCTTCCCAAAGTGCTGGGATTACAGGCATGAACCACTGTGCCCGGCAAGTCCTCTTATTTTTATGACATGCTTCCTATGTGTTGATTTTGTTTTCCCTAATGGAGTAAATTTTTGAAGGCAGGAGGCATCTTATATCCTGTAGTGATGAGCATAATATGAGTTGTTCAATAAATATATATTTGGCAGAGATGAAAGTGGAGAGAGAAAGAGGTTCCTCTGCTGAAGAAGTGTGATTACTTTTGTTTTTTTCTACCTCATGTGGTACCCATTTCTAGCAGGAAATTTCTTCCACTTGCAGACCAAGTGTGTTGGGGACTTGAGATGTGTACATGAGTGTTTGTGATGTTTCCTGCTGAAAGCACAGGTAAGAGAGCTGGAGCCAGATTGGAGCCTGAAGAATCTGACTTGATAGTATGTACACTTCTGTGATAACCCTGAGGAGAGAATCTCAGGTTTCTATCCTCTGCTTAACATCAAGCCTGAATATTTAACTATCGGCAGGGCAGCTGGACCTGAATGTGCTTTTGGCGTCTTAAATTCAGTAGCACGTAGTAGGAATATTTGATAAAAGTGATTTTGCTTTTTTTGTCAGTAGTATATGAAAGCACTTAACACAGAGCCTGGCTTATAGTTGGTGTCCAAAAAGTGACAGTATGTGAGAAATGTTTTGAAGTAGGTGAGTCTTTCCCTGGGTGCCCTGCCTCCACTCATGTGCCTATACCCCCCCTACCCCAGGCTAAAGATACAGGCAACAACAATGTGGATTTCGCCTTTGGGAAGTTTCCAGTTCCTTGTTTGTGGCTTTATGGTCAAACAAGAGGTGTAGTCTGCTCCTACATATCTAAGAGCAGATAGATCTGAACCCTGGCTACCCTCACCCAAGACTGGAAATGTTTGAATCACACTAACATGTCTGGTCACTCTAGGCAGCTTTCTTGGTAGGCACTTAGTCTCTTACTGGGGAAATCTGTGAATCTCTGGGGTAACTGGGCAAGGCGGTGAATATGGGGGGTTGAGCATGAATTAACTTAGCCAGGATAGCTTATGAGTACAGGCATGGATGAGAGGACAGGGTAGGGGCCAAAAACGATTTGACTCTGTCATTTCTGCTCATAGAAAGATACAGGCCTTGTGTACCAAGGGTAGAGCTCTGGCTTCCTGTGGCCTGTCACCTCCATATGATGAGCCAGGCTTGCTCCCAGCTGTCCCTGCAGGGCATCTTGGGTTTAGTAGGGGATAAAATAGGGAATCTGAGTCAGGTAGCCTTGCTTCAAATCCTGCAGGTGTGCAGGGAGGAGTTGTGCTTCCCAGGACCTGTTTCCTATGTGTTGAAATAAGAGGAATCCCATCCAGATTCTGTAGAGGTTTCCTTCCATCCTTTTTATGTACGTTTTTCACACTGTCACTGGCCTGGCTTCTGGGAAGAAGAGAGAAAGGATGAGAGAAATAAAGAACTTGAGGGGGTGTGTAGATTTGCTGTCCTTAAATTCTTTCTGGAGCAAAGTATAGGTATTGGGAGGAGGATCAGTGAATGGGTGTGTGAACAAACATACTGCTTATCCTGTTGCCTGGCACTCAGCCTGGACCCTTACTCAGTATTAATCTTGTTAGATGTTGGTCCACTCTCCCAGTTGGAATATGAGCATATATATACATGTAATTTTATATCAGTGGAGTCATACCTTGTTACTGTCTTATCATCTTTTTTCACTTGATTTCACTTGATTGAGGACATTTTCATGTCAATAAATACAGAAAAAAAGGCTGAATTATAGTTCAGTGAGTGGATATATCATACTGCTATTATTCTCTAATATTTAATCCATTTGTTTTACCTGTTATCAATGGGGTCTTCTTTGACTCCCTTAACAAGATAACAATCCCCCTTTCTTTCCTATCTCTCTTCCCTTCTGTATTTTTCTCTATAGCATTTAGCATCACCTGATATATACTCTTCTCATTTATTTGCTTATTGCCTAACTTCCCTCCATTAGAATATAAGCTCCATGTAGACGGGGATTTTTATTTTAAAGATTGTTTTATTATGCTAGAATCAGGCAGCATCCCATTCTGTATCATAGAATGAGTGTTTCTCCCCCTTTTTTTGGAGACAGGGTCTCGCTCTGTCACCCACACTAGAGTGCAGTGGCATGATCTCGACTCACTGCAACTTCCATCTCCTGAGCTTAAGTGATCCTCTTACCTCAGCCTCTCAAGTAATTGGGACTACCGGCATGTGCTGCTTCACCCAGCTATTTTAAAAAATGTTTTCTAACGATGGGGGTCTCACTGTGTGGCCCAGGCTGGTCTCAAACTCGTAGGTTCAAGCAATCCTCCCTCCTCAGCCTCTCAAAGTGCTGGGATTACAGGCGTCAGCCACCATGCCTGGCCCTTTTTTCTTTTATCCATGCTCTATACCTGGTATTGAGAACAGTTCCTGGTACATCATTGATGCTCAATCAATATTTGTTGAGTGAATAAATTTGTTGGACATTTGGTATACTTACTGGGCTTTTTATTTGCAATATTTTGATTATTGTGAGCATTCTGTGATAAACACTTGATATACACATCTCTACATGCTTGTGCACTATCTCTTCAGGATGAATTCCAAGAAATTCACCTGCTGAGTTAAAAGGTATGCATATTTAAAATGTCAATTCATGGAGCCAAACTACCCTTAAGAATGTAAACTTATATTAGCAGCACATGAGATTGCCTGTTTTCCCATGCTTTTGATAACATTGGGTGTTGTATTTTTTGTCTTCTTCATCTAACAGGTAAGACATGGTCTTGTACCACAGTGGTTAAGAATGTGACTTTGGAGCCAGCCTGCTAGGGGATGAATTCTGACTCAGCCATTTACTAACTGGGTGACCTTAGGTAAGTCATTTACCTTCTCTGTCCTTCAATTTCATCGTGGTAAAGTAGGCATAATGATAGTGCCTGTTTTATAGGGTTATTGTGAGGTAATGATAGCACTTATTTTATAGGGTTATTGTGAGGAATAAATCCAAGTAAAATGTTTAGAATAAATAGTAACTGAAACATAGCACTCAATAAGTATGATTTAATTTTCATTTATTTGAATATTAAAGGTTGAATTTTCAGATGTATTTTGGACCTTTCTATTTTTTCTTTAAATCAGTTATTCATGACTTTTGAATTTTTTTTTTTTCCTCTTAGAGACAGGGTCTTGGTTTGTTGTCTAGGCTGCAGTGCAGTGGTGCAATCATAGCTCACTGTAGCCTTGAACTCCTGGGCTCAAGAGATCTTCCTGCCTCAGCCTCGTGAGCAGCTGGGACTACAGGTGCCTGCTGCCACACCCGGCTAATTGTTTTTTTTTTTTTTTTTAGAGATGGGTTCTTGCAGCCCAGACTGATCTTGAACTTTAGACTGAAGTGCTCCTCCCGCCTTGGGCTCCCAAAGCATTGGGGGTTACAGGTGTGAAGCACTGCACCTTGCCTGCACATTTTTTCCAATAATTTTTTTTTATTTGTAAGACTTAACGTGTCGACTATCATATATAATACAGAATTGTTCCCATTTTGTCATTTCCTTTCAACTTTGTTTATGCAGCTTTTTTTCTGTATGCAAATTTTACGTTTTTAGGTAGTCAGAAAATCTCTTCCCTTATAATTTTTCCTGCTACTAGACCAATGTTTAGAAAAAGCATGCTTCCCCACCTCAAAATTATAAAAATAGTTACTTGTTCTTTTTGAGTACTCTGTGTGTTTAAATCTTTTATCTTTAAATTTAAATCTTTGATCCATCTGGTATTTATTTTGATATGAAGAGAGTGGTTGGAATCTGGCTGTATTTCTTTTTTCTTTTCTTTTTTTTTGACGAAGTCTCACTCACTGTTGCCCAGGCTGGAGTGCAGTGGCGTGTTCTCGGCTCACCACAACCTCTGCTTCCCGGGTTCAAGCGATTCTCCTGCCTCAGCCTTGCAAGTACCTGGGACTACAGGCATGTGCCACCATTCCAGGCTAACTTTTGTATTTTTAGTAGAGACTGGGTTTCACTATGTTGGCCAGGCTGGTCTCGAACTTCTGACCTTGTGATCTGCCCGCCTCGGCCTCCGAAAGTGCTGGGATTACAGGCGTGAGCCACCGCGCCCCGCCTTATGTATTTTTTTCAGTTGGGTAGCTGTCCCAAATTCATTCATTAGAGAAGGAGAAGTAAGAGCAGGAGCCTTTAATCTGTTCTCCTCTTCCCTAATTTGAAAGTGGCTTGTTATTTTGAATATCACATCCTCAGAAATAGCAAATCTCCATCTCAGAGAATGGATTTAATGTTTGGATACAGCCAAAGGTCATTTCATTACCAAACCATGAGGTGAATATACCATGTAAAACAGTTTGGGATCAGAACTCACAGTCTGAATTGTAAGTTACGAGACTGTTGTCTCTCTGCTGCAGCTTCTTGGCTGGCTCTGAAGGGTCTTCCAAGGCAGATCCTAACAAGGGGACTGCTTTGAAGGGCCATTGTTCATTTGGAATGATAAAGTCTATGTTGTTCAAAAAACAAGTGCTTGTAGCAGGTATTTTTTCACTCCAACCTGAGAATATTGCTAGGATATTGATAAGGGGTACTGAATGGTAATAAACGTGTGCTCTAGCTCTGCCCTAATCTGCTTATTTCAGAACTCTAGTTTCATTCAGTTTCTTGCCTCTGACTCAAAATGGAGGGAGGGTGATTCTTACATAACAGAACACACCTACATACCCTTTTGGCAACAGCTACCTGCCAGAGATGTTGAAGAAGAGTAGCCAACCTTTACACAACACATATTGTGTGCCAGTCATGGTCCTAAGTATAATACCTTACATGTATAAACTTCTTAGGAGGTTGGTGGTCTGTACCGAATTGAATAGCATCCCCCAAAATTCATGTTGCCCCAGAACCTATGAATGTGATCTTACTTGGAAATACGGTCCTTGCACACTTAATCAAGTTGAGATGAAGTTTAACTGGGAAGTCCTAGTCTAGTGACTGGTGTTGTCATAAGAAGAGAGAGACACAGAGGGAAGATGGCCACATGAAGATGGAGGCAGAGATTGCAGTTATGCTGCTGCCAGCTAAGGAATGGCTGCAGCCCTCCAAGGATTGCCAGCGACCACCAGAAACTAGAAGAGACAAGGAAGGATTCTTCCTAGGGCCTTCAGAGGGAGCATGGCCCTACTGACACCTGGATTTCAGACTTGTAGCTTCCTGAACTGCGAGAGAATAAATTTCTGTTGTTTTAAGCCATGTAGTTTGTGGTAATTTTATGGCAGTCCTAGGTAATTAATGTACACTCTTACCATCTTCATTTTCAGATAAAGGAAACTGAGGCCCAGAGAAGTCAAACACTTTGAGATCTCTGTAGGCCCCTACTGTGCTGGCTGTGCATAGATTCTGTACCTCCTGCTGTTGCTGTTGTTGGCTCTCCACCTTTACCATGGCCATCACGTTCTGACCGTGCTGGAGCTGAGCTGCTGGAATGACTCATTTTTCTTTTTTCTTTTCTTTTTTTTTTTTTTTTTTTGAGACAGAGTTTCGCACTGTCGCCCAGGCTGGAGTGCAGTGGCGCGATCTCAGCTCACTGCAACCTCTGCCTCCCGGGTTCACGCCATTCTCCTGCCTCGGCCTCCAGATGGGACTACAGGCGCCTGCCACCATGCCCGGCTTTTTTAGTGGAGATGGGGTTTCAACATGTTACCCAGGATGGTCTCAATCTCCTGACTTCGTGATCCGCCCACCTCGGCCTCCCAAAGTGCTGGGATTACAGGGGTGAGCGACCCTGCTCGGCCCCTTTTTTTTTTTTTTGGAGACGGAGTCTCGTTCTGTCACCAGGCTGGAGTGCTGTGGCGCAGTCTTGGCTCACTGCAACCTCCGCCTCCCGGGTTTAAGCAATTCTCCTGCCTTGGCCTCTTGAGTAGCTGGGATTACAGGCACACGCCGCCACGCCCACCTAAGTTTTATATTTTTAGTAGAGATGGCATTTCACTGTGTTGGCCAGGATGGTCTCGATCTCTTGACCTTGTGATCCACCTGCCTCAGCCTCCCAAAGTGCTGGGATTACAGGCATGAGCCTCCACACCTGGCCCGTGACTCATTTTTCTAACACATCAGGCCATAGCCTTTCTTCATGTCTTGCCTGCTTCATACCGTAAATCGGAAACTCCTCTCACGAGGCTTCTGACTGTAGCCTGACCATCTCACCCGATCTCTTCTTCAATCCCTCTTCCCCGCTCCCCTTTATTTTCCCTTTCCTATTCTGTCTTTATTTTTACTTTTCGTGCAGTGTCAGAGAAGTGTGGTGACAATGTCGGGGGAGGATCCCCCAGCTGCCTCTGGCAGTTGGTTTTGTACTTCCCACTTCTGGCGTAGTATACCCTCTAGAATTTCTGTCAGTAGACAATTCAGATCTTGTGTTTTTCTTTGGAGCTTTCAAGATCTTGCACATAGCTTATAGTTACATGGCTGTGAACAGAGAAGGGGCAGTTTCATGGTGGCATTGGCTGTGAGGGCACTTACATTGATGAATTCAACCTACCACAGTGGCTGTCTCCCCTGTCAAAGTGAGTGAGGGGATGAGACCATTTTCTGAACCAGCTCATCTCCCTGAATAGCTTCTTGCCTGCCCCTGGGCTTTTCTATTGGCATTTCATTGCTGGCTGTGGAATCTTGCCTCTTTTCCAATAAGACTTTTGGCTTTAGATCCTGTTCTTGTTCTTACCCACTCTCAGTAAACTGAACTCCGGGAACCACATCTCTTGTGTTTGCTGCTGCATCCCAGGACTGAGCAAAGGCCTGATACTTACTAATCCCTCAAGAAATATTTATTGAATGAAGAAATGAATATTGACCTGGAAAGTTCAAACTCTTGGCTTTCCTTGCTTGTTCCTGAAGTTAGAGGCCAGATTAAGAATTTGTTTAACAGTCTTAAGCAATAGAAAAATTATGATGTCCCTCATACTTTCATCCCTCAGTATGTATTTTAAAAACAGTGTAAATGCAAAATAAGTATAAAGAAACCTAGCAAAATGTAAAGAAAATGCAGCAAAATTCTGATTTTTACCATGGTTACCACTTTGATAAATATAAAATAACTTAAAATATTTGTTGTTGTTGTTCTTGTTTTGCCAGTTCCCTGAGCACATGCTGTTGAGTAATCCTGCCTGGACCAGTCCTTCCCTCACCCTAGACTTCACCTTCAGTTCCCCTTTATACCACCTGCTGAAGCTGCCAGCCAGCCTTTTCCACCACCCTCCCTCCCCCAAGGGTGTTTGGCTTCTCAGACCCTAGCCTGAGCTAGTGCCCTTGGCTCACTAGGGTCTTGCCAGGAAAGTCAAAGGAGAACATACATACTGCCAAAGAGTACCTAATAATGAGAATTCCCATGCTGAATTGTGATTTATAGTCAGCATAGCACATGTGTCACATGATTATACTTAGGCTGATTTTAGCCCGAATAATCTGCTTCTGTGATCCTGTATGTGGAAAACCTAGAAATTTCTCTGTGATCCTCCTTCCTGGATCACTAAGAGACAAGACATAGGTTCATTGTACCACCTGTATTAATCTGGGCCTTGTTGAGACCATTTAAAAAAGGTGTGATGCTAGAAGTAAGGTCCAGGCCTCCCACACACAGTTTCAAGGCTGTGACCATAGTCAAATCCTGTTGCTTTGAGTCCAAAGAGTTTAAAATAGTGTTGGAAACCTCCTAGGGAAAACAAAAAAACAACACCATAACTTCCTGGGTAAGGAAGTGACATGTGTTGACTAGAGCAGGAGGGGTAGCCAAGGCTCCAAGTTCTATTCTGGACCTGCTGTTGATTTGAGGTGTGACATTCAGCAATCTGAGCTGATGTTCTGTAGCTCAGATTGGTTTCTCATCTTCCGCAGAGAGAGTGAAAAGAGGCTGTGCTTGCAGTGGAAAAGGTGAATACTGGTCTCTTGTCCTTTAGGAGAACCTCACCATTGCACATCCTGCCTCTCATTTGAATTTCCAGGCTTCTTTTTTAGAGTCTCGCTCTGTCGCCCAGCTTGGAGTGCAGTGGTGTGATCTTGGCTCACTGCAATCTCTGCCTCTGGGTTTAAGTGATTCTCTCACCTCAGCCTCCCAAGTAGCTGAAATTATAGGTGTGTGCCATCATGCCTGGCTAATTTTTGTTTTTTAGTAGAGATGGGGTTTCACCATGTTGGCCAGGCTTGTCTCGAACTCCTGACCTCAATTGATCCACCTGCCTCGGCCTCCCAACCAGGCTTCTTTTTTAAATGCAGAAATACCCCCCAACCCAGAGTTAGTATAGAAACCCAGCAATGTTGTTTATGTTTTACTTGAATTCATTTCATCAGAATTGCATTCCTTTTAACAGTGTGATTAGATCAGCTCTTGTAGGGGATGGCAGCTTCAATAGGGTTTAGGAAAGAAAAGGAAGATTTGTGTGGGGCACACACATTGGCTTTGATAGCTTGAGGATACCAGGTACATGATAGTTCAGATGGATAACAGAAACTTGTGTCCGTTGAGAGCCAGGCATGTATTAGATGCTTTCATATATAATTTAATTGTAGTACAAACCAATAAAGTATTCCCATTTTTTGCACGTGAGCAAGCTGAAAAAGAAGTTATATAACTTGTCCAAGGTCACACAGCTAATAAAAGGGCTGAGCTAGGATTTATTTCTCCTCAAGTCTGTACAACGCCAAAACCCATGCTGTTTTCACAGAGCTTTTCTGTCCCTGGTGAGATTTAGGAAAGGGTGGGAGAAAGAAGGGTGATGAGATGCTGTCTTTACCTACCTCGCGATTTTGCTTGTTGGTACGTGTTTAGCTAGAACATTCTGTTTATAGAGTACTAGATTCTATATATAGAGATGCTGCAACAACATATGTGGGAAAGATACCAATTGGCTGTAGGTGAGGATTTCAAGAAGTCTTTGTTCTTCATCACAGTGTAGGCCACACGTGTCAAAACACCACTGGTAATTGGTTTGCTACTAAAGTGGCTCTGTCCTATCATCTACATAAAATCTGTTGATGTGGCTCACAAAGTCAGCTGTGATGGGGCTAGAGGTGAGGGTGTGGTGTGTTATTGCATGTACTGGAGCTGGTGGCACCTGTTGTGTGACTGTTAACATTGAATGATTAGTGAGTAAATAAGAGGTGTCTCGGCCAGGCGCGGTGGCTCACACCTGTAATCCCAGCACTTTGGGAGGCCGAGGCGGGCGGATTACCTGATGTCGGTACTTTGAGACGAGCCTGACTGACATGGAGAAACCCTGTCTCTACTAAAAATACAAAATTAGCTGGGCATGGTGGCTCATGTCTGTAATCCCAGCCACTTGGGAGGCTGTGGCAGGAGAATCGCCTGAACCCGGGAGGCAGTGGTTGCCATGAGCCGAGATCGTGTCATTGCACTCTAGCCTGGGCAACAAGAGTGAAACTCCGTCTCAGAAAACAAACAAAAAATTATGTGTGTCTCTTTTTTTCTTTTCCAAGGGAGACAGATAGCAGTGGGTGCTGGCACACATTCAGGGATCCTGGCCCCTGGGCTAGCGGAAGAGATGGCTTGAAGGTGTCAGGTGATGGAATACAAAGAGCTGGTCTGTCAAGTGGTATAATTTCAGGCACCAAGAATGTGTCCTGCCCCTCAAAAACTTGCCCTGGCTGTTTGCTATTGCTTGGAATCCCACAATTGAAATTTCTTTTTCTTGATTTAAATCTTTGAGACCCTGTTAAAAATGAAGAGACTCCAGGAAGGGTTTTGATTGTGAAACATCTTGGTCATGTTAAGTGGAAGTGTGAATGAGTTTATAAGATTGATTTCTGAGAACTAGACTGAGGAAGGGATAGAGAGGAGAAGGCACTGTGCTCCTAGTTGTAGGGACAGGAAGGAGACGCCAATGAGTTTGAGATAAAGGCCTTGAAGAGAGATGCTGGGTCCCTAAAGAAATACTTGGTTTCCTTCGCAGTTTTGTCTGAGAAAAAACAAGCAGCTGAGGGTGATGGTTATGGAGGCCCATGACCCCCAAAGAGGGTATGCTGAGTAGACAGATTTCCCACCAGCGCGTTCGGATGGAGGCACAGTGTTGTGTGGAGAGCTGCTGACAGCTAGAATGTAACCAGGAGTGCTGGACCTTTGGGTCTATGGTTTACTGTGATGTCCTCAGACAAGACTGTCACAGATCTTAGAAGGGGGGAGGCACAGCTTCCGAGAAATGATGCAAAATGGTGGCGCAAAAGAGGCCACCAGTGGCAACAAGGGTAGGGCATTTCCTTCGTGGCTGGTGGTCACGGACGACTTCTGGTCTCAATTTCCCAATGAGCTATGCTAAGAGCTTTACCGGAAAGCAAAATAAGCCATGCCAGAAGCAATGACAAAGCACTTGAGGTGTCCATGCAAAGGTACAGTTCTCCTTGTGCACTAATTTTGTGGAGCCAAAATAGCTGATCCAGAAGCTGTGAAGATAGTCCCTGTGATTAAGACATACAACTTTTTTTTTTTTTTTTTTTTTTTGAGACAGAGTCTCACTCTGCCACCCAGGCTGGAGTGCGGTAGAGCAATCTTGGCTCACTGCAACTTCCACCTCCTGGGTTTAAGTGATCCTCCTGCCTTAGCGTCCCAAGTAGCTGGGATTACAGGCGTGCACCACCACACTCAGGTAATTTTTGTATTTTTAGTAGAGATGGGGTTTCACCTTGTTGGCCAGGCTGGTCTCGAACTCCTGGCCTCAGGTGATACACCCACCTTGGCCTCCCAAAGAAGGCATACGACTTTATTGGCCTGAGTTCTGCCAAAGAGAGACCCTTCCTAGTTGACTTGGCATCATCTTTCATTCACCAGTGCTCTCTAACTGCCTTTATGATTAGAATTCTCACAGCATTTTCTCCCCTAAGGGCATATTTTGCAGAGGCAACTCAAATCTCAGTGCCTTTCTGAGCTCCTTACAATTGGGTTTATAGATGCCTCCACCCTGAGGTTCAATTTCACTGTCCGTATTCCTATCCTAAGTCTAGAGCACCTTATTTTTGATCCAGACTTTTGGCTTTACTGAGGACTCTTGGGTTGTAGCTAATTTTTTTGGACACATTTCCCTAGTGGGCAGCCTAGGAACGGCCTCTCCTCCCTATCCCCCAAGTTTGGCAAGGTCTGTACCTCCTACCTTAATGGAATCAGCACTACTTGAGATTTCTGAACCTCCCACACCATTTTCTCTCCTCTCAACCCCTGCAGCCTCATACATGAGGTCTAGTGGAAAGCAGGATCTGCTGATCACTAGGATATTAGAACCAGTGTCTCCAGTAGGAAGGAACTCCTGGGCATGTGTTCTGTGCCCTGAATGACAGCTCTCTGCCTATCAGTTTCTGCTTTCCCGCCGTCTCACCTTTATTTTGACTTTTACCTAGAAATACAAGCGTTGTCTTGTTTCTCTGCCTGGACTTCCTAACCCTGTCCAGGACTAAAGCCCTGCTGTCAGTCCCTCACCAGGGACTGTCCACCCTTCCCCTGGCCAGGTCACTTATCTGATACTAGAGCCTTTTCTTGCATCTAGGCTTTAGTAGGTAGAGTTCTGTCCATGCACAGATCTCCCTGTGTTGACCACCTTGAACTTTGCCATCTACTCTTTGGGCTAATTAGATGTCATGCTAGTCTGTCCCGCTGCCTTCTAGAACAAGGCTCTTAGCTTCGTTGAGCTCTTGCCCTGGATTTCATGTTAGCTGTCCAGCTGCCTCCACCTCGAAAAGAGCTTTTAATATGCATTGTAAAACTCCAAAAGGGAAGTAGAATATGTAACATTTTTCAAACGTATTTAACTAGAGATCCTTTTTTTTTTCCTGAAGGAATATTTATTAAAATCTTACAGAATATGTGTTTGGTGGAGTACAGTTTTGGAAAGAGTGAATATTTATTCCAAAGGAATGGACATCAAATGGAGTAATTCCAGATGAAGATAATGTTACTATTTCCTGTGTGTCTGCAAAAGGATAGATAGCTCTAATCCACAATGGAACTCTGAAAGGAGGAGGAAGGAAGAATTCTGCATTCTTTCGTCCACTTTGAATCCTCTTCTCCATCCCAGTGGAAACAGGAAGTGGTAAATGCTATGGTGCCATCATGGCCATGGCCATCACTGGCTTCTGGATACAAGATAGGAGGGCTTCTCTGAGGCTCTCTTCCCTAGGTTGGACCTCCGTCAGAATTTCTCTAGAGCACTTCTGAGCACACTTCCTTCTACTCTGGGACTATATTCATCTCAGCATCAGTCTCAAGTCTTACTGCTAGTTCAGGATTTTGACGTTACACGTGGGGATCAGTGCCAAATGGGAAGTAGCTCATTTTTATGGAATGGGTATGACATCAATTTTCTACCTTCCCTATTAAATTTCTCTTCTATATCTTATGGGCAGTCTAGACTATAATATTTTTTCAATCCTTGAATTTGAGATAAGCTCATGCTCTGTGGGCAGGGTGGTGTTACAGGTGGGTTGCCATTTAAATCTGACTGGGTGGGTGACCAAGTACCAGGAATTGAAGCTGACATAACTAGTAACCAAAGAGCAAGCCAGTTACTTCCCCTGCATGCCATTCCCAACCAACACAGCTAGGGAAAGATCACCTGAAAGAAATCTCTAAGACTTCTGATGAAGAAATTACTGGGTCCTCTTGACACCCTCATATATGTGTCTTTATTGTCGTGAGTGAGATCTATTAGTTGGCTGATCTCAACTCAGATAGTTGGCTTAGCTAATCATAAGACAAACTAGATGGAAAGGCTCAGCTTTGACCGTGACATTAGATATGGATGGACCATGTCCTTAGGTATGTTCTTTGAACATCCAGTAAGCAGCATTCTGCATATACAAGCCCCACCCTTAGGGCCTTAGCCTGTGGCATTTGTCCATTTTTGCCACTTCTTCTGAAAGACCATGGTTTTAATTGAAGACCAGGGAGTCAACTTGCTTATTGGAAAGTGGGAAGAGGGCTTGAAATGGGCATTCAAAGATCTTAAATAGAGCTTGTAGTTTCTTTGGTCTATAGGTATTTGCCACGTTATTTTATTTTGTTTTTGAGTCGGAGTCTCTGTCACTCAGGCTGGAATGCAGTGGTGCAATCTCGGCTCACTGAAACCTCCACCTCCCGGGTTCAAGTGATTCTTCTGCTTCAGCCTCCCAAGTAGCTGGGATTACAGGTGCCTGCCAATGTGCCCTGCTAATTTTTGTACTTTTAGTAGAGACGAGGTTTCACCATCTTGGCCAGGCTGGTCTTGAACTTTTGACCTCATGATCCACCCGCCTCGGCCTCCCAAAGTGCTGGGATTATGGGCGTGAGCCACCGTGCCCAGCTGGCATTTGCTAAGTATTAATTGGCCTATAACTGGAAAACTTGTTAGCAGCTTTAGGAAGGCTGTTAGGGAAGGTCTTAGGTTGCAGTGAGCTGAGATCACGCCACTGCACTCCGGCCTGGGCAACAGAGCAAGACTCCATCTCAAAATAAATAAAAATTTTAAAAATGCATAAAGAGACAAAGTCTTGCTCTGTCACCCAGGCTAGAATGCGGTGGTGTGATCACAGTTCACTGCAGCCTCAAACTCCTGTGCTCAAGCAATCCTCCTGTCTCAGCCTCCCTGAGTAGCTGAGATTACATAGGTGGGTGCCACTATGCCCAACTGTCTCT